CGCGCGCCCCCGCCGGTGAGCGCGTCCTCTAGACGTGGGGTGGGGGCTGCCCTGCCCCTCCCTCCAGAACCGACCCTGACCCCGACCCCGGGCGGGGCTCAGCGGTCTGGCCTGCCAATGCACCCTCCCTTAGCGAATTTCCCAGAGTGCACTGAGGGCGGGGGGTCATTCGGGGCCTCTGACCTTGGCCCCGCCCTGGACCCGGGATGGGCTGTGCTGTGGGTTCTACCGGGGAGCAGGGTGATTGAAGGACCACTGGGTGGAAATGGATGGCAGAGTGCTGTTAGACTCGAGGTTGCTAATAGGGGACCATGAGCTTTGTAGGGGTCATAGTGGGTGGTAATAAGTCTTCCGGGCTGTGAAAAGTGTGAGGCCCAGTTTGTGCAAATTTGGGAGGGGCCAGGGTATTCAAAGGACCTCGGGCGAGAGGGAGGGAATAGGGTTGGGGGCGTGTGCTAAAGGAGACTAAAGCAGACTGTCGCTCTGGAGAGGCCAGGTGTGTGTTAATGGGGGCAGGATGGGAAATGGGTAGAAGTACCAGAAGGTGTGCTTATAGGGTCAGTTCTCAGAGGGCTGGTGGGGAGAATGGGGTAGGGGTACCGAGCCTCAGGATAGGGTTAATACTAATACTGTGTGCTTGACTGTGGGACTGAGGAGTGCTGATGGGGGTCTTTGCTGTAGAGTTGTGCACAAGGGGCTAAGTAAGACACCCACTTTGTGTTAACGGGTAGAGTGGGGGAGGGACCACGAGGATGTATGGGGGCAGGGCGGTGGAAGAGCTGAGCTCACGCTGGAGGTAGCAGAGGTGGGGTGTGTGTGAAGGAATTGCGGCCTCACACTGGATGAGATTCAGTATAATGAAGGTCAAGATGGCATGAGATCTGTTTGTGAGTGTATGAGTCCAGGACAGAATGTGAGGCTCCGAGGCACACTGATAGGGGGGCAGGGTATTACTCAGAAATGAAGTTCTCGTGACTACTCAAGTGGGTTTAGAGCCAGTGGAGAAAGGGTCAGTAATGTGAGATCTGGAGTATGCTAATAAGCACCTGAACGGTGTTGTTGAGGACAGTGCATGTTAGTGCCCATGGGGGATTCGGTCCAGGGAATGCTAAGGGTGGACAGCAATGGGGGAAATTTAGTGTGTATTAATAATGGGTACCAGTGCTGTGAAGGGGGCCCGAGTGTGAAACCAATAGAGGTTGTAAGTGTGCAGTAGAGGGTACAGTTGTGGGCAATTGAAGCCAGTGGGAATACAGGATGATATTTGTGGTCCTTTGAGTCCAGGTGTGCAAAAGTGGATTGGAGCCATGGATGGGTGAAGTGTGTATTAATGGGGGTCAATACCTAATGAAGACCTGGATGCACTCATGAGGCTCAGTCATTACAGAAATGTGCTTGTGTGTCCCTGGAGAAAAGGGCTAAGTATGGATTCAGGATGAGGCCCTGTGTATGCTGGTAGGGGTCAGGGTAGAATGAAGGGGCAGCTTGTGATGATGGAGGAGACAGGGTGGTGGTAATGGTGATCATAGCTGTGGAGGGACATGTGTGTTTATGTGTATATGTGAGAGAGGGAGAGAGAAAGAGAAAGTGGGTCAGGGTTCTTCAAGGTTCACTTTGGGTTAATGGGTTTCAGGACAGTGTGAAGGTCCAGTGAGTGCTAATATGGGTCAGCTGTAGAGGGCCCCAAGTGCATGTTAATTGGGGTTAGAGTTGTGTGTGTGTGAGAGAGAGAGTGAGAGTGCAGTGCAGTGCAGTGTAGTGGGTTAATGGAGGTCAGTGCTATGGAGAGCCTGGTGTATCTTAACCAAGGACAGGGAGATTTGGCGATCTGGGGCATGCTAAGAATGCGGGGAGCAGAGCTGTGTTCAGTGAGCATTAATGGGAGCCAGGCATTGAGGGGGCTGAGCTTGTGGTAATGGGGGTCAGTCCTGTGGAGAAGCTAACAGGCACCTGACCATGAAAATTCAAGGCTGGTGCTATGTCCCTCTGCCCATGCTAAGAGACTTCCTGGTTACCTGTTGGGACTTTGGGCTGATGGAGAAATCGTGGGTGGGAGTTAAGATAGAGGTAAGTGTAAATTCCTCTGAGGTCTGCTTGTGGGTCCAGTGTGTCTTGGGGATCTGGGGCCGGGGGTCAGGACAGGATGAGGATGCTGTATCTGGGAGTTGTGGGGATGGCGTTCTGGGTGGTCTGATGTGGTAGGTGTCTTCGATTATGAGTGTAGTCTGAGGGGAGGGTGGGTGTGTTGGGGGGAGGGTTAAGTGGTGGTGGTGGTGGTGGTGATGATAGGTGGAGGGTTAGGAAGGCTATGTGCCTTTTTTTTTTGTATGTGTGGGGAATTGCGTGGCCAGCTTCTTGTTCCCTCCTACACTGCTCTAAAGTATAAACTCAAATAATATTTGAGAGTTTTGTTGCATATACAGGTTGAAATGTGTCTGTTCACAAGGGCCTGCCTGGGACCTCCTGCTGGGGATATCAAATGATACAGTATACAGATTTTATACTCCCATATTCCTAAACCTCCCCCAAATCCAATTCAAGAACATGTTTAGCCCCGGAGGTTTCTAGTGGGCCCCTGGGTCCTCTGGCTTTCCACCCCTTCTTCTCTTTAGCCATACTTATAGTCCTGCCCCCACCAGTACATGCAGACTGACCAGATAGCCATGTCAGATGAGGACACTGGAAGACCTTAGACTGGTCTGGCTTCACCTGCTTCAGCCTTGGGCGCAGTGTCTTTATCTCTAGGTCAGGAATTTTTGCTGTTATCTTGGGCTCCCTGTGGATGGACTTCATTCTTTTTATCTGAGATCTTGCTGCTAGGCTGACTTTTCTACTGGAGGATGTAAGATCAGCCTGGTGGGAGAGGGTGGTGATGGTGGAAGGGTGGGGTCAGTACCTGCTATTGAGATGATGACCCACCTCGCTCTTTAAATCCAGCCCCAGCCTCATCTTCTGTCTCCTATCTCTGCTTCCCTTGGGCCCAGGGCCATCTTTGTTCCTGCTGTGAGTCCATATGGTTCACAGGCCAGGCCTGTACCCCTCTCTGCTGGCCCAGAGCCTAGGAAGAAGCAGGAGAAGGCTGGTTTAAGCCATTTGGTAGTCCTATTCCTTCCAGCACCCATCTATCTAGATTATCTTCCTCCTGATACCAGCATCCCTGGGCTACCTTGTATGGGGTTTCTAAGTAGCAGGGACTCACCACTTTGGCGGAAGTTGGTCCTAGACCCTCAGCTCCCTGATTTCATTCATTTTCTGCCCTAAGTACATCTCCAGCATCTACTTTGTCAGTCACTGTTCTGGTTCTCAGGATATGGCCACCATCTAGACAATCTACCCTTGTTGGGCTGATCTTCTAGTAGTGGTGCGGAAAAGACAGTAAAGCAGAAAGAAGTAAATGGGTAGATTGTGTCATTTCTATGGGCCCTGCAGCAGCTCAGGTAGTGTAGTGGTTGTGAGTTGGGCTGCGATCCAGGATTGGTAGTTCAAAACGACTGGCAGCTCCTAGGGAGAAAGACTGGGCATTCTATTCCAGTAAACAGTCTCAGAAACCCACAGCAAGTTGCTATGAGTCAGCACTGACACGTTGGCGGTGAGTTTAGTTTGGGGAGTAAGGAGCCCTTGTGGCACAGTAGTTAAGCATTCGGTTGCTAACCGAAGGCTTGGTGCTTTGAACCCAGCAACCATTCGGAGGGAGAAAAGAACATAAAGGTGACCAAACCCCAAACCCATTGATTGCCAGAGTCAATTTTGACCCATAGCTCCCCCCCCACCCACCTTATAGGACCGAGGGTTTCCAAGGTTGTGAATCTTTGTGGAAGCAGATTGCCGTATCTTTCTCCCACGGAGGGGGTTGGAACTACTGACCTTTTAGTTAGCTACTGAATGCTTAACCTCTGCATCACAAGGGCTCCTCCAAGTAAAGATTAGAGCCTTGACAATCCTATGAGCAGTTCTGCTCTGGCCTATAGTCGTGAGTTGACAGCACACACCACCACTACTTCCAATGAGGTGTGGTATGAGTGCAGTGGGGGAAAACAGACAAGGATGGGTGAGAGCTTAAAGATGGCTGTTCTTAGAGGCCTGTCATGAAAAGGTGACATTTGAGCAACGACCTTAAAGGAGTCATGGAATAGGCTATTTAGAAATATGAGGGAAGGGTGTTCCAGTCACAGGGAACATCCTGTGCAAATGCCCTGAGGTGGGACTTCCTCCGAGCAGCAACTGGGAATGATAAAGGGGAGGAGAGGTTAGAGCAGTAAAAGGGTCCAGTAAGCTCAGACCTTGTGGGCCACATTGGGATATTTATTTGGGATGATGAGGGAGCTGTTTCACCAGAGAAAGATGAGGTGGTCTGTTCCCATATAGATTTGCAGTCTTGGAAACCCTGTTCAGGGTTGTTTTGCATTAGAGTTGACTCTTTGGCCGTAATTTTTTTAGTTGGTTGGTAGGGTGCATTCTCTACTAAAGGAGAAATGGGAACTGGTTTGGATTGTAAAACTCTAGGTGGGACCCTCTGCAGCCCTATCTGATTGAGCCTCACCAGCAAGTCCTGAGGGCAGTTGGTGTGCACTACACCCCTCCTCCCCCATGGCTCCACCCAGTGGTTGGGTCTTTGGGTCTGGCCCTCTTATGCTCCCCCACCTTATGCTTCCCCTCCCCCCTCAACTTGGATAGACCAGTGGAATGGTCCACTAGTCACCATGAGGATGGTTGCTGTGAGAGACAAAAGAGCAAGCCTGTGCCTGAGGGCAACATTCTGCCCTAGCAGCTGCGGTAACTGCAGGGCTTGTGTCATTGGGATATGCTGTTATATGGGCAAGCCCAGGGCCGCATCACTGGTTCTGAGCTCTGTGGCCAACTCAACACTGCTTCACCTGAGAACGCCTGCTGTGGTGCCCTCTGCTCCAACAGTGAGACTTCCCCCAAGGAGATCACCATACCATCAGCCAGCCAGCCAGCCAAACCTGTGTACCCAGGTGGGCTACTTACCCATTTCCCCAAAAATAAGATTAATTTTTGCTCCCAAAGATGCACGAGGTCTTATTTTCAGGGGATATCTTATATTTCCATGAAGAAGAATAAGGTACATATTTATTGTTTATTGTTTTACTAAAAGAGACCTCGCACTTTCTGTCTGTTCTGGCTGCGCTGCGGCCAACAGTGAGCTTTGCTGCGGTGCCCACCACTACGGTCCAGAGTCTAGAGTTATTACGGTAGCTTCAGTGGGCCTTATTTTCGGGGGATGTCTTACTTTCAGGGAAACACGGTAGGAATAGCTCCATAAAGGGCTCTTGATGGGTTCCAGGGGCCTACAGAGGTGAGGCAGGCATTGACACAGGTTCATATCAATGCCTCCATCTAAGGTATGGATTTTAGGGGACTCGTGGTTAGGCAGATGCTAATGTAAAGCCCCTTTCCACCCTGCCTCTGGCTCAGGTCGCCATGGATCGGATGAAGAAGATCAAGCGGCAGCTGTCAATGACACTCCGAGGGGGCCGAGGTATAGACAAGACCAATGGTGCCCCTGAGCAGATAGGCCTGGACGAGAGTGGTGGTGGCGGCGGCGGCAGTGACCCTGGAGAGGCCCCCACACGTGCTGCCCCTGGGGATGCTCGCTCTGGAAGGGGCGTGCTCAGCGTTGCACAAGGTGGGCCCACTGACTCCACTAACTCCTTCCTCTCCAGGCTTCTCTCAGATTTGAAGTATTTGCCTTTCTGGTTTTTTTTTTTTCCATCCCTACGTGCCATCTACACTCTTCTCTCCTTCCCTAGCTGTCTTCTAGCCACGCTCTCACTACTTGCGTCCCTTCACTTGGCTTTGTGCCCAGGCATGCCCTCCCTGCAGTGGCCCCCTACCCCCCAACGGGCCTGCCTCCTCAGGTCCTGTGGCTGCCTCTGCTGCCACCTGTCCACTGGCCCTGGGCCAGCTGCAATCTTAATTTGCACCTGGAACGGGGTGTTTCATAGGTAACTATTGGTCCAGCTTCCACAGCCCATTCACTCTGGCCAGGACCTGTTTTAGCTGCGCTTGGGACCTGCCACCTTCTTCCTGAGGGACTCCAGGCTGGTCAGGGGCCATGTGCATGCACGTGTGTGGCGAGGGGGTGGGGTCCTAGGGTTTCTGGCCTGCTCGCCTATCTCCACCCCTCCTCCCCACAGAGATTGTACATGAAGACTTGAAGATGGGATCTGATGGGGAGAGTGACCAAGCTTCGGCTACATCCTCAGATGAGGTGCAGTCGCCAGTGAGGGTACGCATGCGCAATCATCCCCCACGCAAGATCTCCACTGAGGTAATGACCCCCCAGCCTGTGGGGTGGATGAGGTTGAAAAAGGGGGTTGGAATTAGCAGGTGATGAGGTGCATGGCCCTTTCTCCCATTTTGTCTACCAGGACATCAACAAGCGCCTATCGCTACCAGCTGACATCAGGCTACCTGAGGGCTATCTTGAGAAGCTGACACTCAATAGTCCCATCTTTGACAAGCCCCTTAGCCGTCGCCTCCGTCGTGTCAGCTTGGTGAGCATCTCCTTTTATCCTGCTTCCTAGCCCAGTCCCCTCCCATGACCCTGCTTCAACCTGCCTCTCTGCCCCACAGTCGGAGATTGGCTTTGGGAAATTAGAGACCTACATCAAGCTGGACAAACTGGGCGAGGTGAGGGATTGCCAGCAGGCCCCAGGTAGGGATGAGGGTTGGTGCAAGCTCCTTGTAGCCTCATAGCCCCTCCTCCCTTTTTTCACATCTAGGGCACCTATGCCACTGTCTATAAAGGCAAGAGCAAGCTAACAGACAACCTTGTGGCACTCAAGGAGATCAGATTGGAGCACGAAGAGGGGGCACCATGCACTGCCATCCGGGAAGGTACAGATCCTCACCCCATAGGCTTCCTGGTCTCTCCCCATAGTGGACATAAACATCTGGTGGTGAGAACAGAGGCTGGGGATTCTGGGATTTCCTGATGTGAAAACTAGAGGGTTGGGTATTCTGGGACATGGGACTTCCCGATGCCCCAGGCTTCGTGCGCCCATCACTCACATGGCCAGGCAGTAGCTATGGTTACTGGGAATCAATCCTTTCCTGTTTGGAGAAAAGGTAGGGGATTTGGACACCAGGCTGGGTGCTTTGGTTCTGAAAACACCCCTGAAACTGCTCACTGATTTATTTGACCCAAGTTTCTAGTCAGAAAATACTAGGAGGCATCAAAAAGTTTGTAGAAATTGTCCAGTAACTTTTAATTCCATTTTCCATGAACCATTTTGAAGCCCCCTCGTGTGTGGAATGAATCTGAATTGCCTAGAAGTTAAATATGTGGACTCAACTTCACATATGTAAAAATCTGGTGTCAAACATTATGAGCCTGAGGTTGCAATCTCAGGTTTCTCTGCAGCTCCATTTCCTTATCTGGAATATGAGTGCATACCTTCCTGGCCTAGGGTGGCTTGGAGGCAGTGATCATGAGGGAAAGAAACCTTGGGCTCACCCCCTGTCCAGTCCCTGTCTTTATCTCTCTTCTGAGCGTATGGCCCTGACTCTCTCTCCTATGGTTCTTCCCCTTGGTTTCTTGCAGTGTCCCTGCTCAAGGACCTCAAACATGCCAACATCGTCACACTACATGACATTATCCACACAGAGAAGTCCCTCACCCTAGTCTTTGAGTACCTGGTAAGGTTGGGTGGCACTGGGTACTGGGGAAGGAAATGGCCAGGAGCCATTGGGTCTGACCCTTGTTCCTGTACTGTCTCCCTCCTCCACAGGACAAGGACCTGAAGCAGTACCTGGATGACTGTGGGAACATCATCAACATGCACAATGTGAAAGTGGGTGTGGGGCAGGAAGCAGGGGCATGGGGGAGGGCTTCCATTCAACATATTCCACCTCCACAATCTATTTAAAATGGACTTTGTCCATTTGACTGTTTTATTGGGAGGTCTTAGAGCAGCAGTTCTCAACCTGTGGGTTGCGACCCATTTGGGGGTCAAACAACCCTTTCACGGGTTGCCCGATTCATAGCAGCAGCAAAATTATAGTTACGAAGTAGCAATAAAGATAATGTTATGGTCACCACAACATGTAGAACTGTATTAAAGGGTGGCAGCATTAGGAAGGTTGAGAAAAGCACTGTCTTAGAGGGTATTGGGACCCTGTTGTCATGTGTATGGTAAGGTTCTGGGCTCAGTGTCTGTTTGGAAGGGGAGCAGTGCTGGCTGGGGGTTGGGCTGTAGGATAAGCCTTGACTTCGCCCTGCCATTCCTGGGTCCCCAGCTGTTCCTGTTCCAGCTGCTCCGTGGCCTGGCCTACTGCCACCGGCAGAAGGTGCTACACCGAGACCTCAAGCCCCAGAACCTGCTCATTAATGAGAGGGGAGAGCTCAAGCTGGCCGACTTCGGTACACCCACTGTGCTTTCCCCGTGCCAGCTAGTCTTGTTCCACTTCCACAGAAACCCTTCCCTTAGCCCGGCTTCCCTGTGACCCCGTAACTTTGCCCTCACTCTAACCCCTCTGCCCTGCCTCATTCTCTGCTTGCCCACTTGCCCTCAGATCTTTTGGGGTCTCATCTGTACCTCACCTCTCTCACTTCAGCCTCCCCAGACTTGGCTTAGGATACCCCCAGTCCCAACTGCACACTTCCCCAGGGTTTGCTTAGGACCCCCTCATTTCCAGCTGTCCCTTCTCTCCACCTCACAGGCCTGGCCCGGGCCAAGTCAATCCCAACAAAGACATACTCCAATGAGGTGGTGACGTTGTGGTACCGGCCCCCGGACATCCTGCTGGGTTCCACAGATTACTCCACCCAGATTGACATGTGGTAAGGACAGGTGGAAGTGCAGCAGGGGCCATGTAAAAAAGAGTGGCTTGGCCAACCAGTCAACTGACTTCCTACTCACTGTTCTCTCCCTGGCCAGGGGTGTGGGCTGTATCTTCTATGAGATGGCCACTGGCCGGCCCCTCTTCCCGGGCTCCACAGTGGAGGAACAGCTGCACTTCATCTTCCGCATTCTGGGTGAGGGGGCATGAGCCCTAGGGGTCATGGGGGCATGCCAGGGAGGGCCCGTGAGATACTTAGTGATTCTTCCCCACTAGGAACCCCAACTGAGGAGACGTGGCCAGGTATCCTGTCCAATGAAGAGTTTAAGACATATAACTACCCTAAATACCGAGCCGAGGCCCTTTTGAGCCATGCATCCCGGTGAGGCTGGTGGGTGTGGGTGTGGGTATATGTGCTGAGGGGTCAGAATGCCTAAACTCAATTGAAAGTAGATTCCCTTGTCCTTGTGATAGACTTGACAGTGACGGGGCCGATCTCCTTACCAAGCTGCTGCAGGTGAGACCACTTGTCCTGGGCCAGCCTTGGGGCTTAGGGGAGCTCCAGGTATGGGTATACAGGGACCCTCTGGGGGCAGGGTCGGATATGGAGGAAGGGGGGCCATCTTGTTGAAGGTACCAATTTCCCCAACATCCCCCTTCAGTTTGAAGGCCGCAATCGGATTTCCGCAGAAGATGCTATGAAACATCCATTCTTCCTCAGTCTGGGGGAACGGATCCATAAACTTCCTGACAGTGAGTGGGGTTGGGGTGTGGACTGGCTGATGGGGGGCTGGTAGGGATGCAGGACTGCTGCAGACGGGGGCAGGTGATACAGCATGTGCTGGCTGTGCCACCTCTGATGGAATAACAAACCAAACCTACTGCTCTTGAGTCAATTCTGACTCTTAGAAATACGGTAGGCAGTCAGACATCGCAGAGGGTTCCCAAGGTTTGCCAGTCTTTACAGAAGCAGGCGATAAAGAATACCTTTCTCCCACAGAAAGACTGGTGAATTTGAACAGCCAGCTGTGTGGTTAGCAGCTGAGCACTTTGTGACCACTGCACTACTACTTGCTTATGAAGTTGAGTTCATTGCAAAAAGTTTGTTTTTTATGTTACACCTCTTAGGCACATTTTCAAATATACAGGAAAATAGGTGCAACATCATTTTACCTTTCTTAAAGTTCACACTTTCTTGAAATTTTAGAGAAAATGCACAAATCATAAGTATACAGAATGGTGAATTTTCACACGTTAAACACACACTACATATGACCAGAAACTAGTCCCTGGGAAAGGACATCATGCTTGATAAAGGGTGGGATGGGGGTGGGGATAGCCCAAACGAGGTAGACCCTCAACGAAGAGGATTGACACAGTGGCTGTAACAATAGGCTCACACATCCCCACAATTGTGCACCGGAGTGAGCAGTCATTCTGTTGTACACAGGGTCACTCGCTTGAGGCAGAACTGACTTGATGGCACCTAACAACAACATGTGTGCCTAACACAGGTTATGGTTAAGAAACAGAAGGTGGGAAGGCCTACTTGGATGGGGTTTCCAAGGCTTGTCAGTCTTTACAGAAGCAGACTGCCAACGTTTTTCATGATTTTGACTTCTAACAGTATACATGCGTTTGTCCTGTTACTTGTGTGATTTATATAAATGGGACCATACAGGAGGTTTTCTTTATATCTAGTTTTTCTGTATTTTTGAGGGAGCTTCAAAAAATCGGGGCAGGGACACACACATTCCATATCTTTTCATTCCATTTTTCAGTGAACTTTTTAGACAAAATAGTATGTGTCCCTAGGTATAATCAACAGTTACCAACTTGTGTTGGCCGGCCAATCTAGTTTTATCTGTAGTCCTTCTGGCTAATTTTAATCAAATCCAATTAGAGTCAATCTAATTGTTAACATTCACCCTAAATGATTTTAGCATGTGTGTCTAAAGATTAAAAAAAAAAGATTTCTTAAAAATCAAAAAATACTATCATATCTAAAGAATAAAAGGTTCCACTGCCCTTGGTAATGGGCAGTACCATTATCACACTTGCCCAAGTTCACAATTTCTTGATGTCATATAATGATCCATAGTCCATTTATCCTAGTTATATCTGATTGTGTATACCCTTTCAAAGAAGGGGCAGCTTATTTTAATTCCTCTAATGGGATCCTGTGGGGAGTGGTCTTGGATTGACCCATGGGTCATTCCCCATCTTAGTATCTCTTCTACCCACAGCTACTTCCATATTTGCACTAAAGGAGATCCAGCTACAGAAGGAGGCCAGCCTTCGGTCATCGTCTTTGCCTGACTCAGGTAGCTATAACCCCTGGCCCTCCTTTGTGCCTTGCCCACCTACTTGCTTGCCCATCAACAGCCATCCGCTCTGCTTTCCCCCCGCAGGCAGGCCAGCTTTCCGTGTGGTGGACACCGAATTCTAAGCCAAGTACTAAGCCACAGACCCAGGCCCCAACAGGCAGCGGCTGGAGGGATGTCATACCCCACACAGGGCAGCCCCCAACCGCATCCCCCCTGCTTGCTGCCTGTGTACATGCCTGACCTATGCTCGCCTGCCCACACATCCCCTGCTGCCTACCCCAACACCCGACCACTGGCCTGTCAACCCACCCATTGGCCTGTGTACTGGGTGCTAACAAAGTTCTCATGGCTCCCTCACCTGGTCTGTCTGTGTTTCTCTTTATGTCTCGGCAGTTGCCAGTGGAGAGCATGGCCGTGCCAGCCTCCCACACTGAGGCCAGGCCTACTTATCCCCCACGCTATACCCTCTCCCAAGACCACTACCCCACGACCAGCCAGGGGTCCGGAGTTAGCCCAGGCTGGGGATCTGGATTCAGACAAGATGGTGGTGATACCTTGGGTCTGAGGCTTCCTCTGCCTGCTTTCCTGCCTGCCCTACCTGCCTCATGTTGTGTGGGCCTCTTTTTGTTTGTTTCATTCACTGTTTGTTTTTTTAATTACTTTGAATGAGGTTTTCAATTTTTAAAATGCAATATCTCTGTACAGACTGGCAGGGCCCCACCCTCAGTGTGTGGGTCCTCCCACAGTATTTTGTGCAATGAATCCCCCTCTCTCAGCCTCTCAGAGGCAGGGACACAGCCCCTATCCAGATCCCTGACCATCACCAGACCCTGGGGTTGGCTAAGGGAAAGCATGCCTTGGCCACTCGACTTCCTACCCCCGCCTGCCATTCCCAGCTGCTAAGGGACCTGGGAACTACCGGAGACTTTGGGAGTTGGATGTGGTGTGGGGGCCCCCACTCTTTCCCACCTTCAGTTCAATTGCTGGGGCCTCCTTCCTTCTCAGGGTTTCCCCAGCACAGCCCCCCTGCACCCTCCGTCCCGCTCGGTGCTGCTGAGTAGCGACCCTGCCGGGAACTAACCAACTCAGTGCGGAGTCATAGTGTGTGTTTATGCACAAACAGGGATGGGGGTGGAGTGGGCCTAGGCATTACCTCCCCTTACCCCTGAGAAGGATGAGGCAGGGCAGGGATAATATCCGGGGTCAGTCCCCAGATGGGTGGTTACCTCCCCTTCTTCCACCCTAAACCCTGGGACCCTCACATGGGATGGGAGGGCAGGGTGGGGGCCCTCCTAGTGGGGTTTGGAGGGTTGGGTTCCTGAATGCACCATAATCGCTGTATGAAATATTAAAAGTCTAAAGTGAAAAGCCTGATTGCAAATCCCTACTACAGGGTGGAGGAGGGCTCTTGTGCAGGGGTGATGGCTGGGATTTGGTGAGTTCATACCTGGTTCCCATCTTCTAAGAGCACTGGAAATAGGCCCAGGACACTTCCTGACCTGACATCTGAAGGGGGTGGGTGGTAGCCAGGCATAGAAGGTAGTTAGGCATACGTAGAAATAGGAGGAGCAGGTGGAGGTACGTGAGTATAGAGAGAGGCTAGTGATTCAAAAGGTGCTCGGAGAGCCCTGTGCAACCAAAGTGCATGGGGAGGGCAGTGTGACCACATACCTGACTGACGGCAAAAGTAAGGTCAGGTCAGTTGGAGCGAATATGATAGGAGGGTAGATTTGGGGCCACTGAGTGAAAAAACCCTTTAACACATAGATCAAAATTAGGAGTGGAGCCAGAGATGGAGCTGTTAAGGTTAGAATCATTAGTCTCCAGGAAGTAGTAAAAGCGTAGAAGGACCCTGGGAGGGTGCAATGATTCGAGGCCAGGGGCCCAACCACAAGCTGGGACTTGCCCACAGATGTGGGGACAGTTACGAGGGTTAGGTTCTTCTGCCTTTTGAGTTTTAACTCTGGCCCATCTTTTGCAAGGCCCGGGATAGACTTCCAGGTGGGCAGGGTAGGCAAACTTCTCTAATAGCCGCTCTTTACTGAAGCCCGGACGGAGGTGGTGGCCCCAGGACTTCTTAGCACTGTGCTCCTGTAAGTATCTGGATCACCCAGCCTGCAGCTTCAGAAATGGGAAAGCAAGCAGAACAAAGAGGGTGCCCTCCCTACCTGTCTTATTTTTAATACCAAGGCTGAAACTTCCACAAACTCATCGGCTATCTCTCCCCATCCCTTGGGTGGAATTATGTGACTTGGCGTGGTCCCCTCTGGCAGCAAAAGCACCCCATAACAAACAAATGTGCCTAGTACAATGGTTTTCCAACTATTGGTCTTCAGTAGCCCTTTAGAGTCTTAAAAAATGGATCTCTTCAGTGTTTTTCCTTGTCATGTCTTGGAAATGCCACAGGACATACAATAGTGCGAGTGAAAACATTGTGAAAATGTAGACTTTGTGAGCCCCCAAAGGGTCTCCTGGACTAGAAGACCTCGGGCTACAGTTCTCAGAATATCTGGCTTGGTGTGTAAGGCGGCTCCGACTTGGAACCACTGCGCAGTCCATTGCCTACCTCGGGAAAGTGAACCGTTTTTTGGACCCAGCTTCCTCCACAATGATAATTACTAAGTGCAATAAAACATTTAAACAAGGTCCACACCTGATAACAGGCTTTTTATTTCCAAGGCCTTGATTCCGGCATATTCACAGGAACTGGCTCCGATTTGCCTTTAAAAACTAATTCAGAAAGGAAGCAGCAGCCTGGAGGCCTGACTGGCACCCTGTAGGTGGTGGCATTTTTTTACAATGGGTTTTGATGAGA